TGTGTGTGTGTGTGTGTGTATCTGAAAAGAAGATGGCAGAAGAGACCCATCTGATTGATGAACTGCCGGTAAAGAGGCCGCAGGAGGAGGAGGCGGAAGAGAACGGTGGTATTTCTGTTAAGATGGAAAAGAGTAACGAGGTGGGGCCGCCTGAGTGTATTTCCACTATTATCCCTGGCTGGTTATCTGAAATTAGCCCAATGTGTCTTGGCAAGTTCGCAACTCTTTTTACGTAATTGGTGTGTTTCTGGATTTGGGGTTTTGTTTGTAGGGTTTAAGATATATCTGTTTATGCGTTTGATTAAATTCAAATTTTATGTATATAACTTAGTTATCCAATTAACTTTTTTATATTTTACTTTTTGTAATATGGTAATAATGTTTGTAATTATGCTGAACTCATCCCAGTAATAGTAGGTTGAATTTACAGTTTACTTGCATAAAGTTTCTTTCTTTTTCTTTGTTAGGGTGGTGGTGTTGGAGGGGGTGGTGGTGGTGGTGGTGGGGGTGGTGGAGTTGTTAAAAGCTATATTAGGTCATTATCCTTTCAATTTGTGTTTTGCATTTTCGAATATAATATGCCCACATCATTTCTGGGTATAATTCATATGAATTTCACCACTTGAAGAAGCGAAGAGCCTCTGTTTAGCTGCAGAGAATTTTCTAAGTGATTGAGTACTTAAATTTGTCGTTCTGATTTATTAACTTGATACTTGACTTCGTACATGTCAAGTTTTTAGCTCTGTTTGATAAAGGGATATATAGCTTTCTTTTAATTGCTCAATGTCTTTCTTTTCGTCTTTCTTTTTTTGAGTTTTATATACCATTCGTTATTTTTCTTGGATACAACAAGCAGTTGTACGTGCTTCAAGATTTTTGTTAGTCAAATTCTCTTGCACTACTGGATATGGATATATTTATATTGCAGCCAGGGAATTATTTTGAATATTTACATTTGGCTTTTTTTAGACTTATCAATCTTTCTGGCCATGTACAATCTCTAGCAAGATTTTTGTTTTAAGAAATTACATTTCTGTTATCTTATTACATGGGTATAGGTTGGGGTTTAGGAAGGAAAGTTATACTAAAGGTGCTTTACCATATAATAGAATTACTCTTGTCATGTTACTTTGGTGAACTTTAATCAATATTTCAAATTCTGTAATGTCGTGAAGAGTAGGAGTGTTGACTGTGTTGTAATATTTTCCATACTCTCATTTTTCAAACTTTCACTGAAGATCTCCTTCTATAATGCCTGAGAAGAAATTCTTGCAGCAAATAGGATATCAATTTATACAGAAAGTTTGTCTTTGTTGAATTGCTGACTTTGAATTCCTAAGTGTTTCCCTCAAAAATATCACTTTTTGACTTGAAGTGTTCAGTTAAATTTTCAATGACTAAGAATTTCATTGTCTTGTGATTTTTGTGGCGAAGGTTTATATTGTTTACTTTATTGAGCAATGGAAAGTGTTTAAAGTATCAAGAATATATTACAGGCTACTTACACCCCCTCCCTCACCCAAAATGAATAAGAAAAGGAAAAGAAAATGTGTGTACATGCATCCAACTCGAAAACTGCTTCTATCTTAAAAATAATAATAATATCCTGTACGTGGAACTTATCTTTGTATGGGGAGGCTAAACTAGGATGTAAACTCTTAGGCTGTGGATATCCTATACGCGAAACTTCTCTTTGTATGTTCCAGGTATGATCAAGATTACTCATGTAATGACTATATATTTCAAGTTCCCTGTATTGATAAAGTTCAATTTTTTGGTCACCAATTTTTCTCTACTTATTTGTGGGTTCGCCATTATCCGGATGGAACTAGACAGTATATCGAGGGTAAGTATATTAATGTTTTCTCATTAATATACTTAATCTTCAATGACAGTACTTTATTTGCATTAAAACTCTCTCTTACCTCTATCTTTGTGTTTGTATCAGGGGCCACTAATGCAGATTATGTAGTAACAGCTGATGATGTGGACAAATTTATAGCCGTTGAATGCATACCAATGAATGAACAAGGACAACAGGTATATGAACTTATATTTTGTACGTTATGGGAATCATGCAGTTGAACTCCTTAACAGTTCCGAAGGTGCTACATGATCAAAATTTAATATCCAATGAGAAAGTTTTGTATGATTTATTTAGTAAAATTTTCATATATATTCAACGTTGAGTGATGCATTCGTTGTTCCAAATTACCCTTGAAGTGACATGGTACTAATAGGACCGATTTGGATTATTGAAAATAATACACAAATTTACAAGAATTTAATCTTTCCATCCCTTATTTTGGTAAAGGGTATGATTGCACTCAAATTTTCCGTAAATGTAAACATGGATCAAATGGAGTGACAAAGAATCCAATATAGACTCCCCCAATTAGTTTATTGTTGTTGTCAATTAAGCATTATTTTTTGAAGGATACTTTGATAAAAGTAACAAGTGGACAACAATGAACATAGAGAAAAATATTAATTATATATCTTAACTACAACTCATCCAAGTGGATGTGGGTACGGGAGATAGGGGTTTTTTTTTTGGTAGGAAAGTTTCCATTTCCTGGAATATTTGTGGTGTTTTCTTTGGCCGTTTTGGATTGTTTTCTGTTTTCGATTTTCCAAAACAATGAAAACTCGTTCTCTTACTTATTTTTAAAACACGTTTTTGAAAATGATAAAAAATTTCTACACAAAACAATGAGAACAACGTTTTGACTGTTTTCAAGCAAAAACAAGGGGAAAAAGGAAAACACGGGAAATGGCCATTTTCTAAATCCTCCACTACCCCCAATTTCAATTTCTTCCCTGCTTCCAATCCATCCCCTCTCTTTCTTCCCTCTGGACACTGGTTCTCTCTTGTCAACGCTCACGAAGGAGATGAGTCGGTACAAGAGCCGATCGGCAAAAATCCCCATTTGAATCCATATAAAAAAACCTCGATTCGGATAACAATTGGTTCGAATCATGAGTGACAATGGGGGATTTCAATTTAGCGTTGGTAATCATTGCAATAATCGTGTGTGTGCTGGTGTTTATATTCAATTTGTACCTCATTGTAAACTACCAGCATCCAGATGATGCTAACTAGCCGTATTTCCCCAAATTCGTCTTTGTTTTGGGTCCTTCGTTGCAGCAATTTCGATTTTAATGCTTCCAGTGGATATGGCTAACCGGCAGGCTTGTCGGCACACGATTTATAATGGTACGTGTAACCTTACGCTCCCAATGAAGGATATGTGGCTCACCATTTAGATTGTTGATGTCGTCCTTGTGTTTTTCGTCATTCAATTTGCAATGTTCTACTTTTCAGCTGTTTTTTGATTATTATTAAGAAATGCCATTTTTATTCATACATGTTGAAATAACTGTGTTTGGTTTATTTATATAATTCGTGGGTTTCGCAGAAGTGTTTCCAATAGGATGAAAAGTGCATTGTTGTGGGTGATAATGGCACCTGTTGTTTGTGCTTTGGTTCTAGGGATTTTGTATGGTTAGTTTCTCATTGATTTCTCTGTTACTTTTTATGTTGGTTATTTGGTGGGTTTGAAGATAATCTTTTTGCAAGTAACTTTGATTGAACTTTAATGAATAATTGGCTAAATCTTAAATGAGCTGTATAATGTAAAAGGTCAACCTCAAACTCAATGTCACTTTAATTCAATTTGGGAAGCTCAATATCTGTGATTCTAGTAGTTGAACGTGTTTATGGTTTTTTACTGAGCCCATCGATTAGAGTTGTTGGCCGTAATAGACCTGCATGTAGGCTTATCCTCATCCATTGAACCCTTTCCATCTGCTTGGGGCCTTCACCAATGGTCAACAATGTGTTGGAAATGGGGCACGGCAGGTTAGGAGATATTTTCTTCTTCTCTTGCTCATTGATTTTGATTTACCATTCTTACATATTTTCCCGTTTCCCCAGTGCTCTACATTTTCTGCCAGAGCTTCATCCGAGACAACATGGACTATGCGAACTACCTTCCCAGAATAAGTTGTTGCTCTAGCTACAATTGTTGGATATGTGCTTTTCACTGTAAGTCCCTCCATTGCAATTTGTAACAATAGAATCTCCACAATAATGATGTGAAATATGTGTTCCATGGTTTATCTTGCTCTTATTTGCAAAAGAGTTCATATTCGATATTTGTCTCTCTTGATTTCATACATTTTGATAAATATTTATCTGTCATTTTATATTTGTCTAGCATATGCTCATGATTGGAGTTGTTAATATCATCTATAGTGATATCACTAAATTTTAAATGAAGAATAGTAACTGCGATAAGCCAATTTTAGTCCAGAAAGACGTGACATATTGATGTTGCATAAGATTATAGGCTTTTCTTGTCTATTCTCTTTCATGCCAAGACATTCTCAAATGTAATGTGTGCTTCATTTTCACAAGATATTTGGTGGTGTGGGCATTGCTTCCCTTCCATTGGGACTTATATTTTCATTCACCTGCCTTCCAGTATGATAAAGTTGATTGTATTCTATTGGAACAGACTCTAGTTTACATGCACTATCTGATGGAAGATCATGATCAAGGGGTTTCCATGCATGGGAATCAGGCAACTCTTTTGCTGAGTTCAAGTCCAAGTATTTTTTAGGGAATCTTGCATGCATCTTTTGTAATGATTTTTCTTGTTTAGTTCTCCTGCTAGTTAAACAGGGCTAGCTTGAATTTAAGAGGTTGTATAAGAATGTTTGCTGCATACTGGCTTTATATAAATGATAGGAGTTCTATTGGAGGGGTTGAAAAATCGTGTATTTTAAAGAGTTTATTGTATAAGAATGTTATCCTACTTGTTTGCTGAAAAACTATGTATTTTAAGGATGCTTACAAGAATTAGTCACTATCTATTAATTTCATATTGTGAAGGAAGTGCATTTACATGGTCTTATGCCTCTTGACTATTTCGATCTATGACACTGGTAAAGTAATTAATTGTCAAGCTTAATTCGATATATGGTAATGGGGAGACGTCGCTTAAGGTTGCTAAGCTCACTCCAATGCCTCGATTTCATTTTTTGATTTTGTTAAGCTGAGCTAAAGGCAAACTATCCATAAGGCATATCAACATATTGATGTTGTTAACCTTAATTTTCTATCTCAAAAATCTGAAATTATATACATATAGTTGTAAAAAAAAATTTCAGATTCACCAACTTCATATACGTTATTTAATACTATATTAACATTAAACTATTAAAATTTATTGAATAATCAAATTTCTTGAGTAAAATATTATAAAAAAAATTTATCAAAATTTCAAAGTAAACGCGTTTTCCATTTTTATGTTTTCGGAAACAGTTTTT